GCATCGGTCTTGTATCGTATAAATGTATTTGTATATATGTATGTGTATGAGAGAGGTGAAACAAATCGATGGGATTTTTATGTCGCGCTCTGCTGCCACGTGGCAGCATTTTTATGTTTCTGTTTGAAATTTATTATCGTTGCTAACTGTTTTTATGATTCTATTTGATGATTGTTTTGGTTTTGAGGCTTAGCTTTTGGCTCGCCTCCCACTTTTAAGGCGCTCCAAGTTAAAATCATAAATAAATCTCGCCTGTCTGTAACTGGCGGCTGTGGGATCTACGTGTATTGTCTGCTGCGGATTAACGCTTTAAAACGCAGCTACAAATATTTTACTCTGGACGTTGAACACTCCGAGAATAAATGCTATTTTTTAAAGCCGATAACAATATAGCCTTGAGTTGGGAGCAATGGCACGTAGTAACAAAAGCCAAAGCCTCTGGTTCAATCAATGCCACAGCCTGTCCATCAGCAGTAAACAAGCCCAATAGGGCGCCAAATTGACGGATGTACGTAAAGAGCTTCAATTTTCATTCCTACTTGGGCATGCCGAAAATGTGTGCTGAAAGTTGCGTGAAAGCATGATTTAATGAATTTCCCAGGCTTTCCGGCAATAAAATAATTTAATTTCGACCTAGTCAAGCAGTCAGCAGGCAGCGGGCTGAGAATCGAGCTAATGCTGGCTCATCATTAAAACGTCAAGAGGCTCAAAAAAGTGCGCAAATCCCCGCATAATTTAATAATGTCAAAGTTTTAGGCGGGGGCCATGGAGTCTCTATAGGTATCCAAAGTGGTTGCGTGTCGCATAATAAAATGTCAGGCCGGAAGCAGGCACTTGCTGTGTTCATGCTCTCAGTTAGCCCAGATTTCGGATAGCATTGCGTTCAAGGCAGCTAATCTATGAGATGTGCGGCGTCTAAGCCGCCAGCTTGAATATTTCAGCATTAACTCCATTAAAGTCAACATTATGAATTTTAATTTTGCGCCTGTGACATAAGCTGTGTGTCACTCGAGCAAATGACGTGCCAAATAGCTAGACAATTTAGGGGGTCTGCAGCCGGGAGCTGCTGCTGCATATTTTGAGCCACAGCCAAAGACAACTCAAATGTTAGTAAAAAAAACAAAACCACAGAATTCCAGTTGATTCCAGTTAGAACGGACAATGCTAGAGCTAAGCGCGGGGCGAGCTCGTGAAACGTCTCGCCAATCGTCTTACAAGTGCATTGTCAATTTGTGCACAAAGGATGATAAGGATTTATGTCAAATGCTTGTGCTGTTTGAGTTTTGTGAGTTTTGCCAATATTTCCACAGATGACTGCACTTTGCACAAGTGAAAATAAAACGAGGCATCATTCCGGCTCTGTAAGAACCAAAGAAGCCGGATAGTTTGCTTTGAAAGTATGTATCTGATTACCGGAAATCTCGAAGGTTGATTAACCAAACTGGTCTGTATGGCTATTACATACTTAATGATACGCAACTTGGCAACTTTTACAATCGATCCAACTTTTCACTTTGCCACTAACGGCTACTTAACTTATTAATTTCCCGTATTAACAACAATTTACAAGCGCCGCTCATTAAAATTTCATAAAGTTTCTATGAGCGAAAGCTATCAGAAAGTAATTTGTTGAAAGCCCGTGACTCCCTTCACAGCGACAGCGCCACAAAATTCTCTTGAAAGTTTTCAAAAATTCCTGATTAAAGCACCAAACATTTGCTAGAAGATAGATTGTGGCCATGAGATGCTCATTGTACATTTTTTAGTCCTGGAATTAATGAACAAATTGACAGATATTATAGCCAAACAGGAGAAAACATTTTTGTGGATTTATGGAATTCTGAACCCCTACGCAAGAGAGAGAGAGAGAGAGAGAGAGAGAAAGAAGTCCTATATCAAAAGTATGCTATTGTTTTTGATCCCTTAGAATTATTAATAAGCTAATGTGTATAGCTGCCCTTCTTCGTTTAGATGCTGGGTATAAATATAGCATTAAAAAATCAGTTCAACTTTCGTTCAGCGCAGGAAAAGTGCGCCTTGATGCTTTACAAGTTTTCAGTGATTGCTTTTATTATTTTTTCTTTTTTTTTTTTTGCTGCTTGCTTTTTGGCTGCCTACACAGGCTGTTGTACGTAAGTACAGAGAGCAAAGCATAAACACCCACACACATACACTAACTCACGCCCACAAACAGACTCACAAGGGACACTGGCACAACCGAGGTAATCAGTTTGCGGAGTACGATGTGGGCAAATGGACGACTGGATTGGGCTACCGAGGCAGCTTCAACTTTGATAGAAATCATGCTGAGTTGTGAAACGTAAAATTGAATTTACTTTGTTGGTCCGCGCTCACCCTTTTTGCCCGACAACTGACTCGACTCGTGTGGTAGGGGCTTTCAGCGCATTCCAACGGTCCCTGTGAGTGGGGCAGCGAGGTGGGGCAGCAACTTGCTGACTGGCCGCAGTCATAAATCATTAGGCATTTGGCATATGCAAACGGCTGGACGAGCCTCCAGACTTCAACTTCGTGCCTATCGCTGTTATCGCTAATCCCAGCATTAAATTTGGCTTTAACTTTCATTACACTGCGATATCATACCAATTTGTGGCCATGCCTAAATTGTTTGCGGAATTGAGCAATCTACGCCCACTTTGGCCCACTGGCCCACTGTCCGTTGCCCACTTCAGAGAGGACGCCGTCGGCAGCCACAACAAAGTGAAATTTGCTGTTCATGTACATTCATTGGTTTTGCAGCAAAGTTAATGATTTTGTTTTGGTGGCAAATTCATTGAAATTTATAACCCATGTTCTGTATTTGTTGTGAGTGTGTGTGTGTGTGTGGGTTTCATTCTAAGCGGCTTAAAGTAGCCATCAACTCGTAAGTTATATTGAATTAAGTTGGTTTGTTTTTGTTACTGTCTGGTGCTTCTGCTTCTGCTGCTGCTGTTGCTGCCGCTGCTACTACTTGTGGCATGGTCAGGTTTGTTGCCTTCCATTCGTGTTTATTTAAATGTAATTAATTTGTGCAGAGCTCAGGCAATTAGTTGCTATACCAGTTGAGCTCAACCCAAGCTTGTGGTATATATTTCTAGCAGACAAACCGAAAATGGTTAGATGCCATGGGTAATAAGGGAGAGAGAGTCAAGGGATAAATGCTTATTATGCTGCTCAAACTTTATAATAGTATTATTAAATGTGCGCATTTCTGAATGTCTGTCACTGAGATGTATCTAATTGCTGAGCATGAATTTTAAAATGTTAAAGACTGAATAAGTATTTCATTTCTAAACTAAAGTAGGTTATAGTTAAGAACGAAATGCGTCAGATTTCGGACAATGCTTTAGGTTACATTCATATTTGAATGCGTTTCTCAAATGATTTTGTCATTCATTTTAATTGTACAATATAACAAGAACGAATTCTCTTTAGAAGCAACTTTTATAAAAGCATAAGCTATTATATATTGAAATGAAAATCCGATTTAATTATTCGTATTGCCAACAACTCTTAGAGAAGCAAAAGTTAATAAATATTAAAATCTATGACACATTTAATACTTCAAAATAAAAATCGTTTCTATAATTTCTATCTTTTTCTTAATAACATCTATATTTCTAAGGTCACTTTAAGTAATGTACGCCAAGAAATCATTGGGACCCAAGTGTTAAATAACTTATCAGCTTTATGGCAGCCAAAAGCTAAACGAAATCCTGTATAATTAATCCAATCCAATTTTATTCCTCAATTTTTCACAGTTAAAAATCAAACTTGCGCAATTTGTTACATTCACACGCACCAAACCCAAAGCTGAATGATACACATGAGACGTTAGAAGGGAATGCGTGAAGCGTGGGTGGGGGCTAAGTTGGCTGAGACTCGTAGTACGTGATCCACGCTAAAAGTTGTGCAAATAAATAGCAGTGAAATTTTATAGCACACTTGATAATTTGCGCAATAATTCAGCGCTGCTAATCACCACATAAATAATCTTAAGGACAGCGCCGCAAAAACCCGAACACTTATACAAACGCACAAGTAGCTCAAAATACACATACATAGATACTATACATCTTAGTGTGCTCACACATATATATATGTCTATTTTAGTATAGTAAATAAATACTAGGACACTGCAGTCGAGTAAAGCAAATTCAGCGACAACGAGTTGAGTCAGATATAGAAATGGAAAAGGAACGGATAGGAATTAGTATCAGTATTGGTGTTGGTATTTGGAATAGGGTGACGTAGGTAGCGAGGACTAAGCGACGAAACAAATAAAAGCGCCCAACATCAAAACTCATGAAATTGAGAACTCGGTCGAATAGAACGTGAGCCAAATTTGAGCTAACGAATGTTGACTCTTAGCAAAGCACTAAAATCAAATAAAAACAACAGCAGCAGCGGCAGCAACAGTCATGGCAACAGCAACTGCGATAAACAACAACAACAACAACAACAACAACAGCACAAGGCAGATCAAACAAAATCAACAATCATTCTGTAAAAGTTGGCAAATTGATGAAGCCAAATGGACACGAAGCAGACATCGGCCAAGCTTCAGCTTCGATGCTCTAACTATTTTTGGCATAATAAAAATTAATAAAAATTGTTGTGCCGTTAGCCGTAAACTTGTAGCGCCTTAGCTTTTGGCATTTAAGCAGAGTAAACAAACAAATAAACTAACAAGGCGCTGACCAAACAAGCAACAAAAACAAAACAAAAACAAGAAACCAATAATATGAACTTGCCAGCTGGCACACAGTCGGTCCGTCAGTCCGTCAATCTTTCAGTCAGTTAGTCAACAACAGCATGAACAAATGTTGAACCAAAGTCGGATTACGTATACGCCGCGTGTGCCGGCGATAGCATAACCCACAACACAAAATATTTAATTTAATGCGTGCGCGATGTGTGTGTGTGTGCGAAATGTTTAAATTGCCGCAAAGGCCATAATTTATGGCATTTTATAGTGTACAAAACTTAAAGCGAACATTTACCAGCTGCTCGAAGACTGTGCGACGCCTTGGGAACTGCCTTCTTAATACTTTTGTAGTTTTTGCTTGTAATTTATTTTTGTTTTTTAACTTTATTTTTTGTAGATAATTGAGCTGTCACTTAGCCAGTTGCAGGCACATTATCAATCGAATGTTATCACTTGTCATTTGACTCCTCCTTTATTTTATTTATATATATATATATTTTTTTTTTTTGGGCACTGAACAATGTTACTCTGTGCGGAGACAATGGGACACAGCGTAGCTGCCACTTTCACTACCAAACCGACCGTTAAATCCAACGTTCGCCACGCATCTACCAACTGATTTGTCTGATACGCGTCAGATAGGCGAGGAGGCTGCACGCACAGAGCAGCCCTCGTGTCTCGCCGCAGCCGAAGGCGTGTTCGTCTCGTTGTCAAACGCTCGTACGCATCCCAACAAGAATGTGCCACACGAAACCTGCAGCTCGGGCCTGGCTAAGAGAGTTCTTCGAAAATTTGCTCAAATTTGTTGTTATGGCCCACAGAGAGCTGCAATAACAGCTGAGCGTAGCACAGTTTGGCTGATAAGGCCAGCATATCACAGCTACCAGAATACTATTTAATTGCAAGCCGAATAACAACACATTCTGCATATTTTTAACGCGCATGCGTATTGCCAAGTTTGCGAAATACTGGCAAATACTGGGCACAGTTATGACCCCCACTATGGAACTTCTTAAGTCGTTATCAGCGGCTAGATCTATTGCCACGTCAGCAGGACTAAGCTAAGGTAGAAATACTTATGCTTAAAATAATAAAATTTGCATTTTCATATATTTATAAATAGTAATATAATGTAAGACACATGTGTTTTTATTAAAAGTATTAAATATAGTCTAAATATTCTTATTTATATTTATAATTATGATGTATGTTAATTACACGGCATATATAAATATCAATAGACATTAAAGATGATTCAATTACTGGCTAATACACATAATGATCATATTTCATAGGTTTCCAGTGCCAGAACTATTTCTTAAAGCGATATAAGCACTAACAATCACAACAATGTGAGACATTTTGGAGGAATTTTAAATTTTGAAATGAATATATAACTTTTATATGAATTGTGTCTCATAAAAAATTAGATGCTTAACGTTGATTTACCAGCATATTCGGATCTATTAGCAAGATTTAACCTAAATGCCAAACAAATTGTTCAATGCCTTTGAATTTAATATTATATAGTCTCGCACATCACCTTAGCGACTGCACAAAGCAACCAGAAACCACTGAATGCCCACATAAAAATGAGTTTGCGATTTTCTTAAGCTATATATAAAATTATATTTATGTATATAATGAGCTGAATATGTAAGCCAAACTCCACAACAAATTGCCAAAGAGCCAAAGCAGTTGCTCATACGGATTTTGATTTAAGGTTTTGCGGTGCTGCACTTATCGCGCAATTGATATTGATATAGAGCTGGGTAAATATCCAGAAAAATACACACACACACACTGAACACACACCGAACCCACACACACAGCCAAGTTTTTGTGGGAGGAAAAGGCCTGTCTGTGGTATATGACCAAGCCATATGCGGCATTCCAATGAGATAAAAGTTGTTTACAATATAGAATCGATACATATATATACATATATTTATATATTTTGTGTGTGTGGTCTTGTTTGTGTGTATTCGTATATCATAGCAAAGTGCACATCATGATTTTATTAAATGGACTCTGATGTATTTATTGTCCGGCAGCAACGTGACTTGTGAATTGATTTCATTAAACGTAAAAAGTTAACAAAGCTCCGCCGTTGCTTCGGCAACATTTTTGGCAGCGACTCGCTATATATCGCCATATATAGATAAATATTTTGCTATGGCACTGTCCACACAGCTTGAATGCATCTGTGTGGGTGTGTGTGTGTGTGGGAGTGTATGTATTGGCTTAAGGACATCCATCGTTAGTAGCAAGCGAAGCGCTTCAGCGACAGCAGCAAGCAAGGAGCAGCATCAATGACCAATAGCAACAGCGGCGCGCATCAAGCATGGAATATCAATGCGGTCAAGTGGATGACTGCCCAACTAACGGAGCAGCCAGGCGAGCTGTGGGCTGTGGGCTGTGGTCTAACTGGCCAACTGACTAGCTGACTGAAAGGACTGACCGACCGAGCTGACTGACAACCTTTGGCTCTCGGGCATTTTGCTCGCCACAAATCGGCAAATTGTGTGCAGCGCCATATCTTGTTTTATTTTGTACAAGTAATGATGATAAGGTTGCTGATCTAGCGCACATAACGTAGATTAGCAACAGGCCAGTCGGGGGCCGCAATCGAGGACATGGTGACGGCAATTACAAATATGCGCATGCCACGGGCTCAGCTGCTTAATTAAAGGCGCACAACTTTGGCGTTAAGCAACTTTCAGTCAAATGTCCTTCGCCCAGACATTCGTCTGGCATTTAAAGCATTCTCAGTCGTGCTCAGCGCCTGCCGAAGGTATGAGAAAACATTTTAGACTTTGTTTTGTGTGTCCTTGCAATGCAGTGCGCAGCGCTTGCAAACAATTTATATTAAATGTGCTTTTAATTGCCGTACAGAGGGAATGAGAGAGAAAGGCTCCCCTCTGAAAAGGGTGTGCGGCAGAGCAAGGGAGTTTCAAGGCGATTCAACGTCATTCGTTGACATGGAAAATGTTCATGACATGAGTCCTCTCGAACTCACTTCAATTGCGCAGCTAACGAGGCGAATGCGCGATTCTTGCATGCCAGCTAATTTCTGCAGCACGCAGTGGATACACTAAATGACAAATTTCCATGTAAAGAACAACTTCTTTCACGAACACATATGCACTTGTAAGCAAACACAGACTTGAAGCTTTATTTTTTAAAACGCTCAGAAATGCGCACTCCCACATAAGCTGGATGTTGTTGTGTTGTCATTGCTGCATTGTAAGTTGTCCCTTTTTATAAATGTTAGCGGCAAGAACCACTTACATGAACCATTTGCATCATATTTCTGTTGTCATTTGTTGACATTTTACTTGCTTTGTGTCAGGGTGGCATGCCTTCTGTAAGCGAGTGTGTGTGTGTGGGTGTGTGTGTGTGACTGTGTGTACTTGTGCGTGTGTCATGTTTGACGTATACTTAATGTGCAGTCATTATTTTTCGAGAAACAAGCGCACAAGCAAGCTAGTCAGCAGTCAGCCAGCCAGCCAGCTAGCTTGCTGCACAAGCAATGGGCAGCAAAGCAAATAAAAACGTTTTTAGTACATAAAGAAAATCCGCCACGCCCACTTAATGTGGGCAAGAGCAAATTGTGAACTGGCTGGCTGGGTGCCTGGTTGACCAAATAAAAATCAAGCAAACGCTGCCCAGGCTGCTTCATCATCGCCTGCCATTGTGCTGGCCAGTTTTTGGGGCTTGGCTAATTGTTTGAGCCCTTTCCATCGCTTCTTCTTGCCAATCAGTCGAGCGAACACTAATTAATTATCTGAGCATATGCCACACCATATTGAAAGCTGATTTTTCGCTGATTTTTGTTTAACTTTGCCCGCTAATTAACGGCAATTTAATGGCCGACTCTGAGCCGCACAAAGTCCTGATGGATAGATAAATAAAAGGCTGTAGCACGGAAAGATTTTATTGCAACTGAAAGTTAAGTAAACTTAGAGGATGGTTAATAATTATTTTATTTGTTTAAATGCTCAACTATAGCTACCATCAGATTGGTTATGATTTGTATCTACATTGAACTAAAGCAAATAAATATTATAATAAGTGCATATACATATACCAGCATACCATTAATACCTATTAGACAGGGGTACATATATCGTTTTTATTATATAACAAAATAAAATAAAAAGTGTGCCGAAGTTATCTAGTAAACAAGATATAGCGGAAGTTTTTGTATCCCTGATATTTATTTACACTTGCAGAAGAGTTGGGAATATAAAATACTAGTGTAAAATAATTGCATTGATGATGGATTGGTTTGTGCTCGCTTTCAGTGAATGTGTAATTAAAATGAACTAAAAGAGTTTGCGAATATGAAACTTGCAGTGTGCTCGTTGTTCAGCCGAGCAGAAAATGATGATGCAGTTGAAGCTTAGTCAAAATAAACCAAAAAACTTAAAGAAATGCTGAAACTAATGTTAAATTTAGAAATGGATTCGATTTTGTTTGCTTGTCAGAATTCGCACAACAATTCCCTTTTATGCAAAGCAAGCTGCACAATTATTTTCAGATGCACGAAATTTAATTACAGACAAACGTTTTACGCACAATGTTAATAATAGTTATGTGTTGTTGCATACCAGCTAAATACTACATATTTCCATAACAATAACAAACCACCATACCCTACAGGCCAGCTTTAAATCACGAAATGTGAGTAAGCTCATGCCGACATTAAATTTGCACCACATCTAGTTCGTGCTCAGTTCGTTTCTTCTTCGTTTGAATGCCGCCATTCCGACACTCATACTAGTACATACAATCTCTTCCATTCATTAGGTTGAGAGGCCGCACTCAATTGCCCAATTAAAGTATGAGCTCTCTTTGGTTTTCAATCACTTTTTCCTTGATATTTTTCTGATTCAATTTTTGCTCTCACTTTATATAGTTATTAACAAACATTTTGAATTCTACTTAAGAATAACGTCACTGACACAAGCTGATGGAAAAATAAAATATACCCCCATTTATAATTATATTAATCTAAACTGAAGTGGGAGCTTGATTAGAGACAATATATATTAGATTGTCAATACAAATTATTTTTATACCCTGAACCCATTAAAAATGGCTATAAGGGTATATTGTATTTGTGCAAAATCCAAATGTATGTAACAGGTAGAAGGAAGCATCACCGACCCCATAATGAACATATGTATATTCTTGATCAGCACCAATCTGTCCGTCTGTCCGTCCGTATGTATAAACTTGACGTTCCAAAACGACATAACTCCGCGGAGATATGACGTTCCAAAACGACATAACTCCACGCGGAGATATGACCTTCCAAATGATCACTTTTTTTTTTCAAAATCGAGGTCGGTGCCCAAATCAAAACTTTTTCGATGGTTTTTTTTAATATCTCGGATAATAACGCCGCGCGGAGATATGACGTTCCAAAACGACATATCTCCGCGGAGATATGACGTTCCAAAACGACATAACTCCGCGGAGATATGGCGTTCCAAAACGACATAACTCCGCGGAGATATGGCGTTCCAAAACGACATAACTCCGCGGAGATATGGCGTTCCAAAACGACATAACTCCGCGGAGATATGGCGTTCCAAAACGACATAACTCCGCGC